GTACCCCGACTGCTGCCGCGCCTCGGTTAGCGCCTGCCGATCGCCGGCTGGCGCCAGGCATGAGCTGGCACTCAGCGCCGAACCGCGCGTAAGTAAGTTTGACCAGCGCCGACTCCGGAATCGCCTCGAAGCGGGTTGATGTGCCCTTGCCGAGCTTGCCGACAACTGAGACGTGCTCCGGAGAGATGCGCTGCACAGTGTCGTACGAGACGCCAGCCACGGGCGTGCCGTACGACACCATCACCGGGAGATCCTCCGGCTCGCTCAGGATCTGCACGCGGCTGGTCCAAAGCACGTTGCACCACGTCAAGCAGTCCACCAACGACCCCGAAACCTTGCTCCCGGACGGAGTGAGGCCGCCCCGGCTCCCGCCCGTGTATTTGTACGGAACGGCGATGTGGGCAGTCTGCAGGCGTCCGAGCACGTCCCCGTCCCGCGCCATGCACTGCGGCTCTGGCTGCATGCCCTCGGCGCTCACCGCACTCACTCGCCCTGACTGCGGCTCTGGCTGCATGCCCTCGGCGCTCACAGGAAATGGCGCACTCACGCGCCTTGAGCGCGCCATTTCCTTGGCAACGGGCGCATCTATTTCTTTTGCATTTTTTATTGGAAGAATTTCAGATTACTCGGAATCTGAAAATGTTTTTTCAGATTACTCGGCGAGCACAGATTACTCGGAATCGAACAAAATTTTAGGATTGTAGATTACTCGGACCGAACAAATAAGTTTTTGTGAGGGTTGCCCGGCCGCGGGTTGCTGCGCAAAAGCTTTTATGTGCGCGGGTTCGCGCTGCGCTAGGCTCAGAGCGAGTTCGCGCTGCGCTAGGCTCAGACGGCGAGTTCGCGCTGGCTAGCTAGGTAGGAGAGAGAGTTTGTTTGTGTTGCTAGGTAGGTAGGTAGAGGGTGAGCCGTCGCGATTTCTTGTTGGTTTTCAAAACTCTCTCTCTCTCAAGCTGAAGATGTTCACGGGCCCTCACACGAAGGTGGGGAGCCCCGGGTGGGTCTCTTTAGGTTTATTTAGCTGTACTCGAACTCGGTCTAGGCAGGGTTTGCTTGCTCGTTAGCGGCGGCGGGTCTCCGAGCAAGAGCGGAAAATGTCTAACTAATCGGTTTTTTCAGTTTACTCCGGCTGGCCCCGAGTAAACTGCGACGGAAAGAAATGTGAATGTGGTCCTGTTTTTTTCAGTTTACTCGGGGCCCCGAGTAAACTGCGACGGAAAAAATGTCGAAATGTCGTCCCGAGTAATCTGGTTTTTCAGTTTACTCGGAAATCCGCGTAATGTGAAAAACAATTTCAGATTCCGAGTAATCTGTGATTTTTCCTTTTTATTTTTACCTACATTCCGTAGGAGGACTCTGCATTTTTTATTTTTATGCTCTTACGTACATTCGGGTAGGAGGACGCTGCTGACAGGGTTTGCGACGTAACCGCTTTTTAGTTGAGCTCTTTCAAGTTTTTTCTCAAGTTGAAAAGAAAAAATTGCACACCTGTGAGTGTTAGAGGTATTGCTAAAAATCTCTCTCTCTCTGAGTTGTTTGGTATTGCTAAAAATCTCTCTCTCTCTCAAAAAATTGGGAGCGAGGGGGCGGAAGTGTTCAGAGAGAGAGATTTTTATTAACCTCTAGTGTTCAGTGCGGTAGATGGTGAGCTCGGGGCGCGTGACGGCGTGAGCCGGACTTGTGAGCCGGACCACCCCCGTTCTTAACCTGCGTTGTTGAGCCAGGACTCAACATACCCGGGCTTTCCTTCCCGCACTGTCACTCCCCTTTCAAACAAACAAAACTAATCCCCTTTCTCCCGGCCGGGGTGGGGCGGGGCGCGCGCGGGTGGCGGCGGGTGTGCGGGATGTCTGTGGGCCCAAGAGCGATATGCCTTGTCCGCCGAGAGAGTCTCTCTCTCTCTCTCTCTCTCTCTCCTTGTCCGCCTCGAAGGCTCTCAAAAGAAAAAATCTCGTTCGCCTTGGCCGGCGGCCACCGACTCCGCTCCGGCCCAAGGCGAACGGGATGACAGACGACGAGCCCTGCTGCCGCATTTGCTTTGACACGGCCGACTCCTCCGCCAACCCGCTTTTCCGGCCCTGCCACTGTGCGGGCACTTCCGCTTGGGTGCACGTAGAGTGCCTCGACACGTGGAGGCGGACGAGCGTCAACAAGCGCTCCTTCTACGAGTGCGACGCCTGCAAATTCAAGTACAAGTTTGGCGCGCGCGTCGGCGACCAGATTTTCGTTGCGAGGCTGCTGTCGACTGCGGGCGCCATCCATGCCCTCGCCCTCTGTGCCCTCGCCAGCGTCATTTTTGTCGCCGGCTTTGTCGGCAAGCTCTTCGACTCCTCGCTCACTTGGTGGGACGTCCTCCGCTGCTTCAACGCCCACCACCTGATGAGCGGCGCCGCCGCCACAGGCACACGCTCCTCGGCGACCGCCTCGCTCGCCCCCCTCTCTTGCCGTCACCCGGCCGGCGGTGGCCGTAGGCCTCGGGTCGCTGATTGGGTGGGCCTCTTCGGCGCTCGGGCTGACGGGGATGCACCACGCGCGCTTCGTCGTCGGAGACTGGTTCGGCCCCGGCACCCTTCGTGGCGCGGACCGCGACAACGCCTTTGGCCACGTGGTCGCTCTGGTCGCCATCGCGGCTGGGCTCTGCATCGCCTTCTACTGGATCTACTCGAGCCTCGAGGCGTGGGCGAGGCGGACGGCGCG